GTTCCTTCTTAACTCCCCCGCCGGCGAAATTCAGTACGTCGCCAAAGGTCATTTTCTTCTTTTTCTTCTCTTTTGTTTGTGGTTTTTTAGTTTTGAAGGTTTTTTCGTGATTGAAATTGTAACCGCATTGGTCTTCGTTTGCGATCGGCGGTTTATTGTTTTTTTTATTTTATTTTTTTAGTTTTGAGTTTTATTCGGTTTGATTTACAGATGTTAAAGCTATTTTGAAAGACGAGAATGTATATAGGAAAGCGGCTGAGGAGGCATTCCCTTCTTACAACAAATCTCACTTGATTTGTCTCGAATTGCCTAACAGAAGTGGCGATGTAAGTCTCTCTCTCTCTCTCTCTTGCTTTCTTTTACTTTGCAGTTTGTTCGATCTTTGAAAATGTAATTTAGGCTAATCGTGTCCTTCAATTTGATAATTTTAGCTTTTGATGGTTTTCAGTGGTTGAAGATTTGTGAATGAAGTTTAGCTAAGTTGTTGAAGGTTTAAAAATGAAATATTTTGTAAGCAATACTTATTGTACTGTGTTGTAGTTTTCCTTAGTTGAAGGTTAGAAAATTGAAAGACTGAAGGGAACAATAAAAGTTATGCATGAGAAAATCATTTGTCTTATTGTCCATTAAAGAAATAAGATTACTCTAGTAATGCTCCAAATAAGGCTTTTAGGATAGAGATATATTTCATGGTACTCGGCAATGCTATATACAAAAGAATGGGGTGTTGTTTGTTGAGCAGCATGTTTGTTTATAGTTTCTCTACATTTGTATACCACTTGTATAGAGGGAATTTCCACCACTTTTCAATAATCAAAAGAAGAAAAAACATTTTCCAAAGAACTGTTCTTTATTAAGTCTAAGATTTTGTTCCGCTCTTCTAAAAAAGAAAGTAAAATGCTTCATGGATGTAGTAATGACCAGTTGGAAGATATTTTTATTATCTTGCTATGTAAAGTTGAAAGTAGTGACATTTGCAGGTATTGGTTACGTCTTTTGGTGAGGTTGATAAGGATGAGTATCTTGATCCTCGCACTGCCCAGGTTGCCATAGTCAACCATGTCAAGCAAGTATGTTGTTCAGTTAGTATATAATGCTAAACGTAATTGTTGGATTTAGTTGGATTTTTTACTATCTGGTATTTTGACATTCATCTTTAATAAGATTATAAATTTTCATTGGATGAGCCACCAAGGACGTGCCAATTGCCTATACCAATAACAGATATACAACAACTCCCATGTGCCACCCACTAGCTACCTTGCAAGTGCAAAACAATCGAAACTATTTACTAAGATCTACACTCACAATCTAGCGTTTGACTTTCTTCTTATTGCAGAAGCAGAAATAAAGCCACACTGGGGTTTTGGGGTGGGTGGACAAGACTTTCAATTTTGCTTTTCTAGTTGATTTATGCAGGTTAACTCACATGTGGGTTTAAAGAAGCTAACTCCCCCAACCAAGATAGAAGCTTATTGCTGCCCCTTGTTTTTTGCCTAAAACACAAAAGCACCAAGAATGGTGCTGCAATTTATCCTCAAATGAAGAGGAAAGGAAGAAGTCACTGTAAAGGAAGACGACATTTACCATTTTCGCTGAGTCTTTTAATGTCCTCAAAAGCAACATGATATATAAGTTTCTAATGAAGGGAATCCTTTTATGACATCTATTATCTTTTCTTTTTTCTAACTGTACAAGGTCCACCCTCAGTATTCCTATTAGCTGAGAAGATATAACTTAATAAATGATCAGCTTAAGTGACAAAGAAAAGGTTATTTCTTCTTCTTCTTCTTCTTTTTTTTTTTTTTT